CTGTGTCAGAGAAAGAAGCAGCTAAAGAGATCAGGTGGTCAGGCTTGCTGACTTGATTGATGCATCCCAATGGCGTAGATTGATGCTCATGATGTCAATCACTGGATTGTCTGGTCCAATTAATCACTCAATTAATTACCGACTGCTGTCATATAGCTGGAATATTGCTGAGTGTGGTGTTAAACAACAAACAAACAAACAAACCCTGTACCAGAAGTTTTCATATCTGATGAGCTACAACTGAAAAGGAGGATGTGGATGAGTTGTTTAAAAATATGGGCTCTTGGTCGTGTAAGAGAGACAACAACCCCCATGTCAACACTAACTAAACAGAGCATCCCAACACAATATTAGCACAAGGAAATGCTAACATAAAAGTGACAACGTTTGTTAAGTGCTGAGAATTTGAAAGCTGTGTTGCTCATATTGCGAACAGCAGCCATTTGCTTCTAAAACACCTTTAAATTATTGTCATGGCAATTTAAATAGTTTAGAATGATTCCGAAACATCAAATTACCCATCAGAGAGATGATTTGAAAAGTCATAAATACATTTAAAGTACAACTTCACTCAGATGTTTAATGTTTAAGCATCAATATCCATGATATGCCGTATGGTGATTCTGTGTTAGAATAGATCCAAGGCAATCTATGACAGTCCTCCAGCGATTGAAGTTAAGCAAGAACACCTACTAGTCCGAATAGTAATAGCTTATAATAATTAAGGATTGGTGTTGGAGGTTTAAAGTGTATCAATGCAATGCACTAGTCCGTATTGCAATATGTATCATAATATATTGTATAATTCCAAATTTTTAATTCAGCAGCAATCTGATACATTGAGGTATGAACTGAAGTTCATGAATGGAACAGAATGAGATGATGGTACAACATAATGTTTACTCTTTCAATGAATACGCAGCTATCTAGGTCCCCCCGATGCTCGCTCCTGCGCAGCGAAGGCTTTTGGCTAGTATTAGGGCTGGGACGGGTAACTCGGGTACCCGGGTCGTGTGGGTACTGAGTAGGTCCTAGGTACCCACAGGACTACCCGAACCCATTGTTAGTCACGTGATATATTGTCAAATGACTAAAATTATCTGGAACTCCATGCTCATGATGTCAATCACTGGATGGTGTGGTCCAGATTTGATTATTTACTGACCGCCGTCATATAGCTGAAATATTGCGGCGTAAAACGACAAACCAAACCAAAAACCAAAGTCATCAGAGGCGGCTAAATGCATCAAATAGTCATCAGAGGCGACTTGGTTGATTTACATTCATCATCATCATTCCCGACAGCATGGATCAATGCTCATAGTATCAATCACTGTTTTTTTCAAAACTTGATTATTTACATATCACTGTCATATTATTAAGTGCAGTGTTAAAAACGACAAATAAACAATACAGATAATTGAAATGTATTGCTTCTTATACCGTATTCGACGTAATAAGCGTCCAGGGCGCTCTCAAAATTAGAAATAGGGGGCTCTTATTAGAATATTATTTTAGTAAAAAAAGTTGAAAGATAAATTTTGTGGTTTATGCTGACAGCCTGAAACGTTTATGTACGACAGATATATTTTTCCAGAATTTAATTGCCCATAATTAAGTTTGCATATAACAAATGAGTGGGTATTATATGCGAATAAATAAGTATTGTGTACATTGATCAATCGGAAAGGGGGCTAATTAGGATTGTTCACTGGCCAATATATTAGCAAATATCGCCGTGGGCGCTAATTAGAGCGGGCCGCTTATTACGTCGAATACGGTAATTGAGTTAAACGGATCAGCTTACTAACATTTAGGGTATGGTCAGTGCAAGCATAGCCTTACTTCAGTGATGTAGGGAAGCTGGTGATACTACACACAGCTGTAATGGTGGGTTCTGTGAAGCAGTTGCAGGAAGATAGTATCAGCCTGTTTAAATGACTCATGCCTTTACTTGGAGTCAATAGGCGTATTTATAGCAGCTTCCTTCTTGACTAAAACCTCCCTAGATACATCTTTCCTCAATTTAAATTTAGAGTAGAATGGGATTCAGCTCGAGCGGAGATGTGTTAAGTGGCAAGATGCACAATCTTGTTGAATATTGATAAGTTGGTGATATTGTGCAGGCCTCCTTCTGTGATGGACGCTGCTCACAGAGCCTGTTGTTGCCTGATTGGCTAGAAATACAGAGGACACTGCAGAATTTTTTTACTACCTGTAAAAAAAAAAAAGTGGTCTGTTCACTGAATGTTTGAATTAAGATTCAAGGAAAAAAAATTATCTAGAGTATTTAACTATGTGTGACAGGCAAATTTTTAAAAAAATGTTTAGCTTCAAGATTAGGATGTTTTTCAACATCCTTACATTTTTGTGTTCAAGGTATTCTAAAAGTCCATTCGGTGCAGTAATGCCAACCTATTTAAAACCACATTAGCAAAATTATAAAATTAACGTTCAATTACAATAACCTGAATTATGTCAGTTGGGACACCTCTTTCTCAGTTCTGTTTAACCGGCAGTAAATGGGTACCTGGTAGGATGGGATAGTAATGTAATGTGACACCCAAACAGGCAGCTTGAGTTGTATGCTTCCCAGGGAGCTGAGACTGCAAGTTGGATGCACACTGATGAAATGACGGGTAGTAATGTACTTATCGAGCGTACCATGGTGAAGACTCGCACTTAAGGCAAGAGGTCTGTTATTTGCAAAAGGACAGTCATTCCAATACAGGGAAACCTTGTTATGCTGGATCCTGGTAGTCCAGTAACTCTACTATACTTGTCATAAGAGGCGACCAACATGATTGGGTGATAAGGCTGGCTGACTTGGTTGATGCATGTCATCATATCCCAATTGCGTGGATCCATGCTCATGATGTCAATCACTTGAATGTCTGGTCCAGACTCGATTATTTTCAGGGTGCCATCATATAGCTGGAATATTGCAGAGTGTGGCATCAAACAACTAACACACTCAACACACACACATTTTTCATAGGATATTTTGTAATCCTGCTAACAAAGAAACCAGATTTTCCATGAATGGATAAAAAAAACACAGAGAAGCTGATTAACACGACAACGTGTACAGAAATGAGCTGATAGTAGTGCTAGCATGTACTGAATGAATATTTAATGAGATCATTGGCTTTGCTGAACGCATTTCCTTTGACGTTCTATATAAATTTGTTTAATTGAAAAACTGAATTACAGGTGTTGAAAAAAATTGGATTCTTGGATGGAAATTTAAAAATGCAAGATGTCGTAATTCTATAAACTTGAATTGGAACAAGAAGCTGATATATTTGATTCAAGTAATAGAATTAGACGACTCAGCTATAATCTAACCCATGTGAGCAGCGGGTGCACTCGTACTCAAGGGGCCATGTATACTTGCTAACCCCAAAAGCTTTTCCGTAAAATCGGTTATCTTGAATGTATCAAGTGTTTATCTCAAGTTGGAGAGAAAATTGAAAAAAGCGTAATTCAATAAGATAGAGTCCTTGGTTTGGTGTCAAGGAAATATTCAACATAATTTTGCTAGTATTTTTACAATTTCTTTTTATTTAGTTTTCTTTCTGCATAGGGCATTTGCCCTATTGAAGGAAAAAGAAAAATCGTAGTTCAAATCGATATTTTTGCCTATCTGTACAGTAAATGAAAACGGACTGACAGTGATAAGGGTGTTGAAAGAGATACGAAGTTGAAATTATTAATTTATATTTATTATATGAAATTAATTATTATGAAGATAACACGCTTGAACAAGGTTTGGTCACTCCTCAATTTCAGAAACACATTTAAGGTTTTGATAGGCAACCCCTTTTCTAAGCACCCAGGGTGCTTATTATGGCAAATACGGTACTTCATGTTTTCTGACCGTTGAGACTAGTATCTCCTCCATAGCATGTCTGGCAATGGTCACTGTTCTCGCTGTTGGTTGAAATGAGTTGTTGCTTGTTAATTTAAACTAAATTCAAAGTGAAATCCAGTTTATTGGAATTCATGTTTATTAAATGCTATATGAGATGACTTGAGTGTTTGAGGTGAGGTGAAATTGGGTTTGATGTCGCGTCCAAGATTATTGCACTTACACACACACATGCACGCTGCTGTGTGTGTGTGTGTTCGTCTGCTTGTACTAGTCCGGACTGATGCCGATTTATAGTGCTAGCCCACTGAGATACCATGCCGCAGTTTTAACTTGAATACCCCACTCAGACACAGTATACCGACTCCGAGCTGACCAGTCCTTGTTTTAGCCCTTTAATGCTGAGCGTCAGACAGGGTAACAACAAGTACCATCTTTTAATGTCATTTGGTATGGCGCCCGGACCCCAGACCTTCCGCTCTCCGGGCACGGAGGCGATCGGAGTGTTTGAGACTAAGTATGAATGTCAAAGGTTCCTTGTCATAGCCCTGATGTTATAAGATTAAGATTTAGGGGCCACGAGATAAAATACTACAGGAGAAAACCTCAAGGGCCCCAGGTCACCCCTTCATTTCACCACTCTATGTATAATACTAATATGCATGAGGTGTATTCTAATCGCTAATAGTCGAGTCTGGTTCATATGTTCAGACCAAAATGGTTTCTGTGTAAATATTAAACTCATCATTCTCAATATGTAATGGCCCCATGTAACCTATGCTTGTTGAGGACTTATGGATTAGGTGGTCAGCACCATACCCGTGCTCATGGGTTTCACCGAAGTGGTAAACGCCTGAGAACTGCATCACTTTGGGCTTTCCTCCCACATTAAGCTGACACGCCTTGATATAAGTGGAATACTGTTAAAAGCGGCATTAAACCCAACTCACTCACTCACTCACTCATTACACATTGCTCATAATATCAATCATTTGTTTGTCTAATCCAGACTTGTTTAGTTGCAGACCGCCATCGTATAGCTGGAATATTGCTGGGTGTGGCATAAAAGTTTTTAAAGAACAGACAAACAATATGTAACTTTATAATATATATCATCTTTTCCTTTCAGACCACGTGGAAGGACCTGTCTCCCACCCACAGCAAAGGTCAGCTGACTTTGGGAGGTCAGATACCATGTGACAATCATGTGACCCTTAACAATCCGGCTAACTCTGCGACCATCACAATCGATGGAGGCTTCCAGCTAGAGCAGGGCCCTGTCATCAAGATGGACTCCAATATCATCAACACCAAGCTGGAGGAGCGACAAGTGTCCACGTTGCCACGGCGATCACGCAATCGCACAAAAACATGGAAGGATCTTTCACCAACCAAGGAGAAGAACATGAGTTCCAGTTATGGAGGAAGTCCTAAAATGAAGAAGAACGAAGAGAACAGTAACCAACTGGTGACATGGAAGGACCTCTCCCCATCAAAGGAACCGTCATCGCCTGAGAAGAAAAAGAAAAAAAAACGGCCCGAGAGCGGGTATTTCTCAAATGATGTTCAAAGTGATGTACAGGAGTCACGGGAGGGAATTGATGTGTCTTTGTCGGAAAGTGAGAGCGGCCGTGGAAGATCAACAGCTGCTTCCTCTCCTGAAGAGGGATGCTTCAATAACGAGTACTTCTACGATGAAGACTTTATTGTTCAGTTTGATACCAACATCCGCGATGGATCAGTTCCCCGAAGTGAGGGGGAGCCTGAACCGGTTCTACCCTTTCCACATTCTCTTACTGGAAGTTACACTCGATTTGGAACTCTGCCTGACTCACAGCAAGATGTGTTTCTCGGACCGTATGAATCCGAACTGTCTGGCAGTCGGACATCGATGGAGATCTCATCCAGCGAGCGTGAGATGATGTGTTCTAGTGATATGTTAGATTTCAGCAATGATCCACTGTTCACTCCAACTCCTACGGGAGAGCCATTGCCTCAACACTTTTCTGTGGACAGTTTAGGACGTTGTCAGGAGCTTGTGAATAGCCGGTCTTCAACCGATGCTCGTCTTGCGGTAACCTGTTGTCCCAGGAAGGATGAATACTTCTTGTCGTTTAATGAATCTCAGAGCCATTTTACAGCATCCGAGAGTGAACATTCTTACGTCTCACAATCCTCGTCTCAGGGAGGGGCGAGTAACTCTTGCAGCCCATCGTGCAGTTCAAATGGAGAGGAGGCGGAGGAAATTTGTTCGAATAGTTTTCACTTTTGTCAAATGCAGAACACTGATCCAAGTCTAAGGGCAAGTAGAGCCTATCGACCAAACAGCCACCAACGCGGCTGCTCTCTTGGTGCAGTGCAGGAACGATCAATTGAAAAGTCAGAGCTTAGTGACCTTGAGAAAGGTCATTGCAGCAAATCTTCAGGTTCTAGTAGGTCACACAGTTGTGGAAGTTTGCGATCTCCAGCAAGGTCTCCATCTTGTTACAAGTTATCTTCCCACACTGGAACTCTTCAGTCTTTAGAAGATATGCACTATTCTGATGAGGTGAATGCTGAACCAAGGTACTCAACATACGTCACGTCTTGGAAGCACGTAAAAAATCTGAGAAAGTTTGGTAAACTTGAAAACATGTTAGAGACATCGCGATGCAACAGCTTGCCTGACCTTAGCCATCCTGTTCAGCACAGGAAACTGGAACGAGCAAAGAAACGTGAAAATTTACAGGCAATGGCCGACAGCTTCCACAATAAGCGACATTCCGCATCACTTCTGGAAATGTACCAGAGGATGCGATGTCCATCAAATCCTGTGTCTCCGGACACCATGAAGACTGTAGAGCAAATCTTGTTTCCCCAGAATGGCCTGGCTGACGAAAGATTTGGTGATCATTTATTGTCAGTCTCGCGTACAGGCCTTGACCAGGATGATTACAGTGAGCATGATTCAGACATTTGTGGATGTGGGAACAGAGGCTTGAGACTTAACATCCCAACTGAAGTTGGTCCTGGTGTCATCAGGAGTCGAGATTCGCGGACCATGTCACCGTCTTTCAGGAGCCATTCAACCGGAATGACCCCCGACACCGTTGTGCTCTGGCAAGGCACCAAGAACTTTGCTTCCCAGTTTCCGCCTAAGACACAAGACTGTGGTATTCAGACATCTATTGATGGGAGTAAAGGCCCCGTTCTGTTGGACCACTCAATGCAGACGTCTCCAAACTCACCGCAGAGAGATTTCATCTCTTTACTAGATGACGTATGTGGCCATGAACCTCGGACGGAGCTAAAAGACCCGGACACCCCTTCACCAAGGAGATGTGTATCAGCAAATGAAATTAGAGCCAAAAGAACAAAATCTATGCCCAACTTCAAAAGATCTGCGAGTCTTTCTCCATCTCGAATCGGAAAGAACTCTTTCTATACCCATAATTCCCTGCCAGATCTTAGCTTCTTGGCATCAGGAATGGAGCAGACTCATAGTAACAGCTCCCTGTTTGACCCGGTTCAGATTCCCATTATTCTGAGACCAGTTATTGATGACAGTCAACAGACGCAGTGCAGACAGACGGGGTCGTGTAGTTGTCAAGGTCACAAGGGTCACGTGCCAAGTCATGTAGGAAATCTAGCCTCCAGTAGCAGCGGAGTAAGCTCGACATCGTCTTGTTTTGACCCGGGATACGTGGAACCGAGACGATGTGCATCGTTAGCGGCAGATCTCGAAAGGATTCTGTTCCTTCCTCCTCATCTAGAGGGTGTACCCAAGTTTGTCAACAACAGTGAGCAGCAGACATGTCTACCTCATCATCACACGGACTGTCAACGCGATGGGGGGGAGCGCAAGTATGATCGGTACGCCTATGAAATGCATCCTGGGAACTGCCCAACGAGTCCGAAGCCAAAGCCTCAACGTCGTCCTCTTAGCAGCAGCAGCTCCTCCAACTCGACCAGCTCACTACACCTGGAGGGTCTGTATGCCGTAAAGGAAGAACAGAGTCCTACATCACCAGAGAAACCAGAGACAGGGCCGAGTTGGTTCGAGCAGCAGCGGTTCGGCAACATCCATCTAAGAAACTACACTGCTGAGGAGCTGTGCTATGGTTTGTCCGACTGCCAGGATGAAAACGACAGCATTACTATTGAGATCTATGAACAGTTTGCTCATGATCGCAAGCCTCTGAAATCCTGTTTACGTAAGAAAGCCAAAGGTTATAGGTCAAGGTCATTATCTAACCCTGACAGTTTGTGTGCTCAGAGTGAGGCACCCCCAAGGAAACCCAGCCGACATTCAATCGCGTGTGATGGAATATTCCCACAGCTAGTCGACGAAGAGCAATTTGAAAATGCAAACATTGAGTGTATACGTAACTTCTGTGATGAAGGATTACCTCCCCCTGAATTGCTCCAGGAGACTGAAGTAAACCTGGTTGGGATTGTTTCATCAAGCAGTAGCTCCTTCGAAGATTCAAAGGCCAACAAACGAGTGAGCTTCGCTTCTGAAGTGTCCTTCCACTCACCACAGTACAGCCCCCAGTGTTCCCCAAAGAGACAAGGATCTTCCCCGAAGCCTGAGACGGACGAGGAACACCTCACCTTACAGATTACACAGTCGGATGACAGTAAGTGGGACAAATACATGTAGATCCATAGGGGATGAGAGGGTACATGGACCCATAGGGGTGAGGGCGTACATGGACCTATAGGGGGTGAGGGCGTAGGGGGTAAGGGGGGACATGGACTTATAGCGGGTGAGGGAGTACATAGACCCATAGGGGGTGGGGGAGTACATGGACCCATAGGGGGTGGGGGAGTACATGGACCTATAGGGGGTGGGGGAGTACATGGACCTATAGGGGTGGGGGAGCACATGGACCTATAGAAGTTGAGGGAGTACATGGACCAATAGGGGGTGAGGGAGTACATGGACCCATGGGGGTGGGGGAGTACATGGACCCATAGGGGTTGAGGGAGTACATGGACCTATAGGGGTGGGGGAGTACATGGACCCATGGGGGTGGGGGATTACATGGACCCATAGGGGGTGAGGGAGTACATAGACCCATAGGGGGTGGGGGAGTACATGGACCCATGGGGATGGGGGATTACATGGACCCATTGGGGTGAGGGAGTACATGGACCCATAGGGTGTGAAGGAGTACATAGACCCATAGGGGGTGGGGTAGTACATGGACCAATAGGGGTGGGGGACGCCCATTATTATACGTGATATAACTGAAATACTGTTGAATGCGGTGTTAAACCCAACTCACTCACTCACTTATGATGTCAATCACTGAATTGTCTGGTCCAGACTTGATTATTTTGAGGCTGTTGTCACAGAGCTGGAGTATTGCAAACAAGCAAGCAAATGTTTTGAAAACGTTACCCTTTGGATTACCAGGGTTTAGATGAGGGCACGGGTGGCCCAGTCGTCGAAGGCACCGCGATTCGCTGTGCAGAGTTGCGTCCCTTGGGCACGCCAGAAACCTATGACTGTGGGTTGGAATCCCGGTTCGCCCCAATTATGTTTCTAGGTTTGTCAGCACCATCCCCGCGCTCGTGAGTTTCACCTAAGTGGTAAACGTCTGAGACCTGCATCACTTTGGGCTTTCCTCCCACATTAAGCTGACACGCCGCGATATAACTGGAACACTGTTAAAAGCAGTGTTAAACCCAACTCACTCACTCACTAATTGAGGGCATTGCAGGGCAGAGGTTGTAATCCGTGTTTTTTTAATGTAGGCACAACGGTTCAGCTTGTCCCAAAGCAAGGACTGACCAACACAGGACCAGAGAAACCACCACGGCTCTCACAACAGCAGGCTCAAACCCGAGACTTCACTCCACAGCCTATTGGACGCAGCCCTAGTGCCGAGTTTGCCTTTGAAATGGCAAGAAAAAGAGGTGAGGTTATGGTACCTCCTTGCCCACCCCTTTTTGAAAAAAAAATCATCAACCAAACTGACATATTAAAATCAGCAAAGAATATGTTTGTGTTACTGAAATATTCATTTTGACTTGATTCTGATTGGTCAAAATAACATTAAAATCAGGTATCTAATTCACACTCTCAGTTACTGAAGGTGGGCTCTTTAATAGCTTGTGAAATATTTCAGTGTTTGAACTGACACCCCTGTTTGAAAATAATTTGCCAACCAAACCGACATATTAAAGCCAGCAAAAGATGTATTTGTATTATTGAAATATTTCTCCTTGCTTGATTCTGATTGGTCAAAATAACATAAAATTGGATAAGTTGAATGGCATCAACAAAATTTCATATTTCAATAGACCCATGAAGATCCGGGGAAGAATAGGTCTTCAGCAACCCATGCTTGCCATAAAAGGCGACTATGCTTGTTGTAAGAGGCGACTAACGGGATCGGGTGGTCAGGCTCGCTAACTTGGTTGATGCATGTCATCGGTCCCAATTGCGTGGAAATGTTCATGACGTCAATCACTGGATTGTTTGGTCCAAACTCAATTATTTTACAGACCACCGTCATATAGCTGGAATATTGCTGAGTGCGGCTTTAAACAACAAACAAACAAATCATATAACAATATGTGACATGGCTCATTATGGTATCCTCGATCTGACAATATTGATTGTTGCTCATGCTATCAATCACAGGGGCACCTGCCTGAATAATTTAGGCCACTGTGATAAAGTGTTGAATATTGTTGACTGCAAAATGAGACTTTCACTCATTCAAGTAGATGTCAATAGTATGTTTATGCCGCAGATTCTGATTGGCTGACATGTTTGTTACAGCGGTTCTGATTAGTGTATCCCAGGCAGCAGAAGCTCTAGTCACACATTTCGCCCAGGCTAGGGATCCTTTCGATAAGGTAAGAATCTTCCATTCATTTGTCATTTCTTTCATGTTTTGATTCTTCAAGTAGGGGGGCGGTCGGGTAGCCTAGTGGTTAAAGCGTTCGCTCGTCATGCCAAAGGCCCGGTTTCGAATCCTGACATGGGTACAATGTGTGAGGCCCATTTCTGGTGTCCCCCGCCGTGATATTGCTGGAATATTGCTAAAAGCGGCGTAAAATCAAACTCACTCACTCACTCACTCACTCTTCAAGTAGGAGAAAAGAATTTGAAGAATCAAATTGCAGATTCTAATTTACATCAAATGTAAGTCTTTGTAACCATACTGATAAAGTAACATAATTTCCTTTTCTACCATGCGAATACTCAATTTTATTTGTTCAATCTGAGGTTTCAAATCACAATAATAATCTAAAATGAGTTTTATCTCAAGAAGGCTGCACATTCAGTAGCAAATTAAACTAAAGGCTGTCAGACCTGCAAGTAACATAACTCTACATTGACAAGACAATAGCTTTAACTCCTCTGTCAAAACTTCAACTGTACCATGAATTTTGAAATAACTCAGTTCTGATTGGTCAATCACACAAAATTCACAAAATGTACGAACTGGGATTGCTATCATGGCTGAGACACAACAGACATCATAGGCACCAATATAGACTTTGGGTCATGTGAACAAAATGTAATACGAGACAATTGCTTCAACTGACCGGTCCCCTTTGATTCTCTAAATTCTACCTACATGGAAGTACATGTATTATAAAATTATTCCACTTGATGTTTCAAGTAATGAGTAGTTGCTTCCCTTAGGAGTGCCAGGAACCTGAAATCCTGGATTTGAAAATCAGAATCACCCTATATGTTTCTAGGTTTGTCAGTATCATACCTGTGCTTGTTGGTTCCAACTATGGTAAACATCTTAAGTCCCATATTAAATTGACACGCCGTAACATAACTGAAGTACTTTTCAAAGCATTTAACCAAATTGCTTGCTCACTTCTTCTTTTATGCTCAAGGATAATGTTATTCCTAGTGATCGGTATTGAAGGTCTAAAGTGTATCACAATATTTTGCGATGCACAAGGCTGTACATTGCGATACATATCACGATATATTGTATAATAATAAAATTTGAATTCAGCAGCAATCTGATACATTCAGGTATGAATTGAAGTTCAAAAATGGAACAAAACAAGATGCTGGTTCAACATGTTTACTCAGTCAATAAATGCGCAGCCATATTGCACCCCGGATGTATGCTGCAGGGTAGCAAAGACATTTGGCAAGAAAATAAAAATCGCTATTTGACATCACCTGATATATCAAGCATGAGAAAATGATATTGTGATAAGTATCGTGGAAAGATTGAACCATATACTGACGTACCGATAATACCGCACACCCTAGGTTATTGTTTTCCTTCAGTTGCGACTAGGTAGTTCTGCTGAGAACCCTGCGATCAGCAAGTTGGTTGTGGCCCAGCTGTGCCCAGCCATTGAGCATGTGGTGGAGAACGGCATGAAGGCCTTCCTGACGGGGTTCCATGTGTTTGGCAAGATCCACATCACACCATGGAGGGTCGCCGAGATGTCTTCAGAAATTGGTGAGTTGGGACATATTTACTGGTATTCTGATCGTATTAGAGGGTGACCCATCCTCCCTGGTGTAATCTGCCCGGAGAGAGGAAGGTCAGGTGTTTGAATCTCAAAGCCGCACCACACCAAAATATGTTTAAAGATGGTGCTTGTTGTTACCCTGCCTGGCATTAAGGAGATTAGACAAGGACTGGTCGACTTGAGTCAGTATAATGTATTTGTATCATGTGTCTGAGTTTGTAAAACTGTGGCATGGTATCTCAGTGTGCTGGCACTATAAAACTGGCGTAAGTCCAGACTAGGACAAACAGCCTCAGACTCACATGCATGCACGTCGCTGTGAACGGACAGCAATCTTGAATGCAACAGTAAACTCCACATCGTCGAGACCCTTGAAGATTCCGGGGTAGAATAGGTCTTCAGCAACCCATGCTTGCCGTTAAAGGTGACTATGCTTGTAAGAGTATCGATGCTCATGATGTCAATCACTGGATTGTCTGGTCCAGACTCGATTATTTACAGACTGCTGTCATATAGCTGGAATATTGCTGAGTGCGGCGTTAAACAACAAACCAACCAACCAACCAACCACATCGCCTGGGTATGATTACATGCAATTGAACCACTTTCTGACCACACGATCAATACAGTCGCCTTTTTCGGCCAGAACAGGTTGCTGTTCGAATCCATAGTAAGTATACAAGCAGTCTAAGGCGCCGCGATTCGCTGTGCAGAGTTGCATCCCTTGGGCACGCCAGAAACCTATGATTCTGGGTTCGAATCCTGGTTCGCCTCAATTATGTTTCTAGGTTTGTCAGCACCATACCCGTGCTCGTGGGTTTCACCGAAGTGGTAAACGTCTGAGACCTGCATCACTTCGGGCTTTCCTCCCACATTAAGCTGACACCCCATGATATAACTGGAATAATGTTAAAGCGGCGTTAAACCAAACTCACTCACTCACTCACTTTCTGCCTTCAGGCCCCTACACCCGCGCCGTGAATGAGCTGGTGCGACAACTGAAACTGAAACAGACCTTAATATCCAACAAGCAGAAGTTCTACGCTTTCATCATCGGACTCCTCAAGTAAGATATTACCATAGATTGTTGAATATGGCATAAAGCTCACTCACTAATAAGTCTTTGAAATACCATTTTCCTGAGGCAAGAGCGTTAACTGACTTTAAAAGTTCCAGTTTCCACCCTTGCCGAACAAGGCTGGAATTCCTTGGCTCGATCAGAGCGCCACCAGTGGCTCTTACGAGTTATGTCCCTTCTAAGCCTATCCTATGAACCAATCAGATTTCACCTCTCGTAACACTTGCATTTGCTTCAAACAAAACAGCGGCACCTAGTCAAGACGATCTGATCAATTATCAAGGTCTATGTTGTAATAAAATGGGTCTTACATTGCAAAATGCATCAAATCATATGAGCGCCTTGATTAAAAACATGAAAAGATTTGGAAAATATCTGATGACATCGAGTTGGCGGATTCCAATTTCATTGCACGATTTTGATTTGACTATGCATAGACTCATTAGTCCAGCCAAAATGTAACTCCATAATACCAGCCTAGTTCGGCAAGGGTGGAAACTGGACTTTTATAGTCAGCTAACTCCCTTGCCTCGGGAATATGTTGAAATACATGAGGAAGAAATTCACCTGATGAAGGAGTAAGTAGATAAACCGGAAGGTGGTGTTACTCATAATAAAGAAGTTGACATCCATAAATTCTCTTCCACACTCACTGTTGACTTGGTGTAAATTGAAAAGCCAATTTTTTTTGTTCAAAGGGAGTGGGATTGGAAGAAAATACAACAATAATTCAGAAGAACCAACCGAAAACGAAACTCAGTTTGTTAAAGATTCGGGGCTGTGGGGTAGCCTAGTGGTTAAGGTGTTGGCTCGTCACGCCGAAGACCCGGGTTCTATTCCCAACATGGGTACAATGTGTGAAGCCCATGTTCTGGTGTCCCCGCTGTGATATTGCTGGAATATTGCTAAAAGCAGCTTAAAACCATTCTCACTCACTCACTTGTTAACGATTCAACTGATACTGTCAATTGTTTAAGACATGCTAAAATGGTTCTCCATTAGTTTTTTTGTGTGCTTTATTTGGCTCAGATTTAGTTAACTAGGCGGGATACAATTTATTGTTAATGAAATGCATAAATAAACTTATGCGACAATATGTAAATTTGTCTACAGTTTGCGTCTCCTGGATTTCTGGATGGGCTATGTAAGAAGCAAGAAGAATATCGTAGATCGAGTGTACAACCCATCTGCAATCTTGTGCTTAAGTCAGTCCCACCTACAACGTGGCTACGACGACATGTTGCTGGCCCTCCAACCATTGGCAGTCCTGCCCTTCCAGTTGGAGTTTGACATAGTCACACCAAGCACACAGCCTCCAGGTCAAATGGCCACCGAGGCCAAATGCAAACAACACTGTAACTCCTTACCAAGGAACTATGAACATCAGAATGCTGAACAGAGGCTATCGGGGAGCGACATGCGGGAGAGTATGGATGGAGAGAAGGGTCACAATTGGAAGTTGTTTAACAATGCGACTTTCCCAAGGGCAAGGACATCCATGACTAATATGACCACCTTCAAGGGAGGTAACTCTGAGAAGAAGTCGTTGCTGCCACCATCTCCAACAAAGATGCCTGGAATGGAGACAGGTCTTGTATCACAACCGGTGAAGATCATTGAGAACAATCAAGTCCTGGATCTCAAGTATGAGGACAGGGAGGAGAATGAGGAGAGAATTCATGTGGTGCAGTCCCCAGTCAGTTCAATTACCAACCTGGCAGCCAAGTTCCTGCAGAAGACCCAAAGTCTAGATCGGGGGTACAGAAACGGAGCGACGGAGTACAACTTTGCGAATACAAAACTGAAACAGACAAGCTTGGAGTCATCTTCCCAGGAATCGAGCCATGCGACCCAAGATGGCCGGCATGTCGTTCTGGACGGTAGGCAGTCCCAAGAAAGCATGTCATCGTCGTCATCTCAAACAATGATGCAGCCGAAACAGTCACCGAGAAACTCTTTCAACATCATCTCCTTCTTTGACAAACTTCTGCTGCCTGACAAGATGAACCCGAAGTCGTCCTTGACCAGGAACAGTTGGACAGAGGGCCAGAGGAGCAGTCAGGAGCCGGCTCCAGAGGACACACGGAGCAAGAGTCTTTCCCCTCAGCACCAGCCACAACACCAGGCACCATCAGTGTGTAACACAAGGGTGGATGAAGCCAGGAGTGTGGGGAGTAGTGATGAGAACGACAGTCGCAAGGAGTCGAGTGATGAGAACGACAGTCGCAAGGAGTCGAGTGATGAGAACGACAGTCGCAAGGAGTCGAGTGATGAGAACGACAGTCGCAAGGAGTCGAGTGATGAGAACGACAGTCGCAAGGAGTCGAGTGATGAGAACGACAGTCGCAAGGAGTCGAGTGATGAGGAGAAGATGGGGGCCGGCGAGACCATGTCCGAGGTCCTGAAGTCCGAGGACGACATCCAGGTAGAAACAACGGAGTCGGATAATTCTGATATGTCTCAAGCAATGAATAACCTAGGTCTGGACGATAAGGAGGTGGACACTGAAATGGATTGTGCCAAGAATATAGCTGACAATGCCTGTGGTGCAGATATGTCGGGTTCCACAAAGAGCTCAAGACTCAGCACTGTCACTCCAGATGCTTCTTCAAGTGAAGCTGTTGATGATCCAGTTCCGAATGTTCTAAAAGAAAATGTGTCCCCTTCCTCTGCCCCGAAATCGACACGAGCTTCAGTTGCCAGGGGAAACAGATTGGAGGTTGGTTTGGGACAGTATTACCCTAACGTGGATATTAATGCTAACTCCCCTGACTTCCATCCCGACCATTATGCAATTGGGCATACTGAACATCCCAACCAATCAGAATCAAACTCACAAAAAGCATGCCAGCCGAACCAACAAGAATCCAGGTTACAAAACGCATGCGGGCCCACCAAATCAGAATCCAGTTCAGAAGCAGTATGTGAACACAGCCAATCAGAGGCAAGTGTGCAGCACCAATCAGGGTGTTCGGATCAACACTTGAAATCACCTGAGCCGTCGACCGATTCTTCAGGGGACTCCTTCCATAGAACAATGTACAGGTTTGTGAATGAAGTGTTGTTCTTGTCAGTGAAGGGTAGGATAAAGCAACAAGTTGGGAATTATCACACCCAACACAACCACAAATAAGATTTTCTTTTTCAAACATCAGGTGCCAGCATACATACATAGGTCCTCAGCTCTCATGGGTTTGTGGGGCGGTCGGGTAGCCTAGTGGTTAAAGCGTTCGCTCGTCACGCCGAATACCTGGGTTTGATTCCCGACATGGGTACAATAAGTGAAGCCCATTTCTGGTGTTCCCCGCTGTGATATTGCTGGAATATTGCTAAAAGCGGCGTAAAACCAAACTCACACACTCACTCACTCTCATGTACTTGTAAGAGGCGACAGTGGCAGTTGGGTGGTTAAAGTGGTTAAAGCGTTCGCTCGTCATGCCGAAGACCCAGGTTCAATTCCTGACATGGGTACAATGCGTGCCCATTTCTGGTGTCCCCCGCTGTGATATTGCTGGAATATTGCTAAAAGCGGCGTAAGACCATACTCTCTAACTCATTCACCATTCACTAACTCACTCACTCACTGTGATAGGTTCATTGACTCTTGCTTTGTCGCAATGATCATCTTTCGTCTTTCACACATTGATATATTGACATGTTTGCTCTGTATATTTTGTTAGATTTGCTTATTTTGCTTTTCCACAGTGATATACTGTCTGGTTAATTCAAAATATGTGGTTTTAGGGATGGTCTTTTACTATTGAGGGGTTGGGGGCATGAAAATTGACACAGCGAAAGGGGGTCGTTGCCAAATTTTATTTTAGTGGATGGGCTTGGGTGACAGTTCTAGTTTTTCAAATTTAAATATTAAAAATTTGAACTTTATTTAGGGACTGGTCATTTATTACAGGTGTGTGTGTGTGTGGCAGGGGGGGAGGAGAGAGCTTAAAAAAATGATAAATGTATTTGGGGGCTGCCATAAAAAGGGTTACATAAAATGGAAGGGGTTGGAAATCAGCAAAATCTGATACAGTCGTGATATCGATGCCACCACACAACAGCCCCCCTCCAATAAATGATAAATGACCAGTCCCCTCGCAAAAACTTTCTGATTCACTCTGTCCGTTTTCGTTTTGAAGTTTTGACGTGGAGAGTAGTATATCCGTTTCCAGCTGTTACACATTTATACATTGTTGAGACACATTTGATATTAATATGCATGCCAATCTGATTACCATGGTGACTGAACCTGTGTTTCCTCCTTGCTTGTCCCAGCAGACAGGACGTGTGCGCGTGTTTCTTCCCCATGGGGTGTTGACATGACAACAGCGGTAGTGGTTTATACATCCTTAACTCCATGTGCATTTCGTGGGCATTGCTTCAGTAAACAAGCCATTCTCCTGAGTTGCCTGCCTTTGTTCAGTCTTCAGTTTTATGAGTTCAGATTTCTAGGCAAACGATGCTGGCATGTAGATTGCGTGTAACTGAGTGTTGATATCCTGGTTTAACCTGTCTCTGTCTGTATGATGACCTCAAATTGTTCAAGTACTTTGATGATTGTATTCAAATTGTATTCAAATTGTATTTAGTGTTGCTTTCACAGCTTTAGCCGTGTGATTTTTTTTCAACATTTCAGGCCTCAAAGTTTCAATTTTTACCAAGTAGCCATAATTTTTTCCAGTTAGCCAGTGGTAAAATTAAGAAGTCGAGCCAATAGTGTAGGTAGCCAAAAGCATTTGAAATTATCTTTTATCAAATAACTATTATTGTATATTAGTGGAAACTGTACTTGAGTTTTGTTATTTGTGACTCAAACAATGGTGCAATTCATGTTGCTAGATTATATAAGTATATCCTTGCTTATCCAATAAACTATTAACTGAAATAAAATACAAATTCATTATTATTTATGTATTTAGGTTCATTTTTTTCTTTTGGAGGAATTATTTGCATGTACAATTAGCAGCAGACATGTTATTTTTGTGTCTACATATGTGTAGCAATAAAATTTAGTTGCCACAAGATATTTTTCTAGGTAGTCATTTGGCTACCTCTGAATTTTAGACAGTAGACAAAATGAAATTTAGGTCGCATTGGCGACCGTTTTAGTCGCAACTTTGAGGCCTGCATTTTGCTTGCATTCATAGCCCTGTTTCACAAAGCAATCTTAGTGCTAATATGATCATAACTCCCATACTTTAACATAGGCTTATGATAGTCGTAGCGCTAAGATTGCTTTGTGGAATGGGCCCAGATCAGTATACAAAATGAAGCAATGGCTAATTTTAGTACGAGTTCACACAAGCAAAAAGTGGAATTTCTCATGAAGTAGATGATTTGTGATTGGTCAAAAAAGATTTGTTTCTGGCTTTCTTGCAGTTACAATGCAGTTATTATTAGTTCAACAGTTTTGTTAACTAAAATGTAAGCGTGGAATATAGAAATGTACATACCAATGTCGTCTAATATCCTCTGTTATTCTATATTAGGATTTCAAACGACCACCACGCTCCTCTACAGTTTCATGTGCAGTTGTTGTGATTGACCAAAGGCTATTTGGTTGAATTCTGTATGCTCCTATTAATATCATTAAGTCGTGGATCATAAAAAGTATTTGGGAACTGTGGTGAATTAAAGATTAATATTCTTGTGGTTTCCTCAAAACTAGACTTCAGACACACAAATACAATGGTATGCAAAATAAAACATTTATCAAAAAGAATACTTTTTAAGCCTTATATAGCAGCAACCCTTTTTGTGGCCAAATGCAAATCTCTGAATGGCAACCTAAATTTATCTACTGTTTGCCACTAGGCGAACTAAAATTAAACCCAACTGGCGACATTATCTGTTGGTTCCTAATAACTTAGTTTGGCTCCTTAAATATTCGTGTTTGGAGTAGCTTGACTCCCTGACAAAAAACAAATTTAGAGGGCTGTTTTTTGTATCTTCTACATTCATTGTCGTGCTCTGCTATGCTAAGAAGCTTTGACCTTGACCTAATAGCCCTCGTAGACTCGGAGAGTAGTCACTTGCATGCATATTATTATCATGTTGCCATGACAACCTGAAGATGTGTTGGTTTCTTCATTGGAGTCTCCTTCTACTGTAGACTAGATTTTGTCTTGTTTCTGCACTTAGGCGTGTAACCATGGTAACGCAACGACCATTCATTATTCGAGGGGGCCTGGGATGGATATTTGTTTGACACAGAAAATGTGTTTGATCACTGCTACATATTCTTACCTGAAAGGTAGAGCTGGACAATCAACACACATGTGTGTCTGTGTGTGTGTGGTGTGTGTGTTTCAAGGACTGGTTGGCTCGGAGTTAGTATACTCTGTTTGAGATGTTAAACTATGGCATGGTATCTCAGTGGGCTAGCACTATCAAATCGGCATTAGACCGGACTAGAACAAGCAGCCACACACACACGCTTGTCGCATTATGAGTGCAATAATCTTAAACGCGACGTTAAACCCCATTTAACCTCACCTCATAGTTGAGGACCAGTGAAGATCTGGTGTAGAATAGGTCTTCAGCAACCCATGCTTGTCGTATAAGGCAACTATGCTTGTCGTAAGAGACAATTAACGGGATCAGGTGGTCAGGCTTGCTGACTTAGTTGATGCAGGCCATCGTATCCCAATTGCTCATGATGTCAATCACTGGATGTCTGGATTATTTACAGACTGCCGTCATATAGCTGGAATATTGCTGAGTGAAACAACAAACAAAATCATAAAGTTGAGACAATTTTGAAATGTATAAAAAGAGTGGAAAAGGGGCACCTTCAGCATAAGCTGATTTTCTGTCATTATGATCTCAAGTGACCTACATCTGACCTTACATGTAGTTTTGCTGCGGCTGATTTGTTCTATTCTGTGTGCATCTGTTCCCTATTATTTGTGTGTTTTATTTTGTTTGATTTTTTGCACTGTTTTGTTTTCCCTGTTTTGAATGCTTTTTTGTTTTGTTTTTTGTTTTCTAGATATCACTCTCAGATCAAACAACGTATTATCACATACACTGTGCATGGTAAATAATGGTTTCCTTTTCATTCAAAATACAGTGAAACTTTCTTGGCTCTTGAAAAATAATTCCGCCTTAACTCCATCTTCCCTGAGCAAGGGAGTTAACTGTCTATAAAAATCCAGTTTCCAACCTTGACAAACTAGGTTGGACTTTCTAGGCTTGATCTTGTAGCGCCAACCGTGGCTATTAAGAGTTATGTCCCATATATGTCCCACCTGTTGACCAATCAGATTTCATCTCACATATCACCTAAATTGTCTTCAAACAAAATGGCGACGCCCATTCAAGGCGTTATGATCGTTAGTCAAGATCTATATTGTAATTAAACAGGTCTACATTGCAAAGTGCATGAAATCACTTCGGCACCTTGATTAAACACATGAAAAGATTTGCAAAATATTTGCCGAGTCCCAAAACCTGCAATCGACTGAAATCTGCTTGTTGACATCCATGTTGTTTACGAACAGGATGTCTAGTTCGTTACACGATCTTGATTGTACTATGCATAGACTCGTTAGTCCAGCCAAAATTAACTCTATAGTTCAAGCCTAGTTCGGCAAGGGTAGAAACTGGACTTTTATAGTCAGTTGTATTTCCTCTGATAGACATTCCTGGTGGTTATACCAGTAGTTTAGTTCTTGGGGGGCACGGGTGGCCCAGTCGTCTAAGGCGCCGCAATTCCCTGTGCAGAAACCTATGAATGTGGGTTTGAATCCCGGTTCGCCCCCATAATGCTTGTGGGTTTCACCGAAGTGGTAAACGTCTGAGACCTGCATCACTTCGGGCTCTCCTCCCTTAGTTATCTGACACGCTGTGATATAACTGGAATACTGTTAAACGCGGTGTTAAACCCACCTCACTCACTATAAGTTCTTGGGACGTACCCCCAGAGCCCATTGTCTTCTCATGGGGGATCTTGACAGTTTGGTAGCCCAGTGGTTAAAGTGTTTGCTAATCATGCCGAAGGCCCGGGTTCTATTCTCCACATGGTAAAATGTGCGAAGCCCATTCCTGGTGTACCCTTCTATGATGTTGCTGGGATATTGCTGAAAGTGGAGAAAAAAAAAAGGCAATCATGTGGGTCAAATCAATAGTATATTGTCAAACATGCATCTGCCATGCAGGATTTTTATGTAATGGTTAAAAACTATTCAAATGAATTTCAAGGGTTTCACTATATTTTGAAATTTCTCTTTATGAGAATTTATAGATTTTCACTTTACATTTCAACATCAGAACCCCTTTCCACAAAGCAATCTTAGCGCTAAGATGCTTATAACTCCTTTTTATTAAACTGACAAATGACAGCCGTAGCTCTAAGTTTGCTTCGTGGAACTTAAACCTGTTCTAAATAAACTATTCTGTTGAAATAATATACCGTATTCTCTGTACCGTATTCTCTGTATTCAGTGCCCTGTTCCAAATTCTGACCAATCTGAAAGTAATCTTACGAACAACCCCAACTAATTGTAAATAATGTAAATGTCCGTATTTTAGTGTCTATTTTTCAGATTTCTTTTTACGGAATACAAAAGTGTAAAAGGGGTATTATTGCTGAGTAACTATTAGTGAAAAGTATATACTTCCTCAGAGCTCCAGATAAGCTTTTAGTGTTGTGGGTATTTTACCATGCATTTTAGAATCATTGGGTATCAGTAATTCTATCTGGGTATTCAAATTTCTGTTACCCACTAGTTTTTACACATGTGGGTATTTAAGTTAAATATTTAAAAACACTCTTCATCTAGTTCCTGTAAACTGGTGCCTTGTGGGTTCGAGAGCTTATAGGACTAAAAAATACCACGATACTTCCACAAGAAAGTGTGATGGCAAATGATCATGATGTAACTGTCATCGTGGAGTTTGGCAAGGTTGAAGGAATGCCCGTTTATAATTTCAAAATAAGTTGCTGATTTGATATCGAATACGCAGGGTTACTTCACAATATTTTGATGATAAGTTTTATTTTTGTAGGGTATCTGTAATGTTCGTTGCGTATTTGATACGGTTGGATTTTATTTTACTGCGTATTTCTGCATTTCTGATGCGTATTTTACGCAGATACGCAGTTTATCTGGAGCTCTGTTCCTTGACGATTAAACTAATTTTGTTCATTACCAGCCCATCTCTGAACGCACATTGAGCTTGTTTGATTTGGGGTTTTATGAACACCCTTTGTCAATTTCCTGAGCGCTCAGGGCACTTATTATGGTGAATACGGTGTGTGTATTGCCATCATATTTATTTCTTCCTTTGTGTAAAGTTCATACGTTCATGAACATATATACTACTCAAAAGAAGTTAAAGAAAACCTGATGTTTTCATTGGCCTATATGGTTAATCTGTCGCATCATGACATCAATTATATTATAGCTAAAATGGATAGAATTATCATTAAACCGCCCGCACGTTATCAGAAATGAGCGGGCCACTGTAACTTGATAATCCCCCCATATTGCTTGACGCGGGCCATTATCAAGCCTGTTGTTAGGTGACGTCATAGGATAGGGATAGGTGACGTCACGTTCAATAGTGACGTCATCTGGTTTGTTCTATGACGTTTCCATACTTGTAAAAGTGGGTCAGTGACATTTGTGTTGATTGCAGTAAATGTTTCAAAACCGATATTGTTGTTTCTTTTTATTTGATAACAAATTCCATCATTTTAGCTATAATAAGGGTAACGCTATTTTTCAGGGCATTATCATTTGCAGAAGCTCTCAGTCTTTTTAACTGACCTCCTTCGTCGGGCAGTTAATGGAAGACCTCGGGCTTCTGCAAATGATAATGCCCTGAAAAATAGCATTACCCTTATAGTAATATGAAAGAATCAGATGTTCTTTAACTTCTGGTAACTAGTATATTTTGTTGTTGTGTAGTTCTTGCAAATTCTGACATCATACCCATAATTTAGTTACCATGCTTACCATTATAACAAACTATTTAAATATAAGAGTGTTAACTAGCTAAACGTATTTGAATGTTTCAAACATAAAAACCATGTCCCTTGAGAGACAGTAAAGACAAGTATCCAAATTCATCATTGTATTTATCTTCTACAGGTACGTGATTACCCTGGTATCATGTGATCCAGACGACAACGATCACATGAACTACGAGATCGGGGAGTACCTGGAAGTGCTGGCCCAGCTGGACAGCGATTGGTTATATTGTGCCAATGGGAAAATTGAGGGATTGGTTAGATGCAGTGCAGTTCAACCAATCACAGATGAGGACATGTTTGAACAACTCCATGACAACTTTTATCGCTGACTCATCACAAGTCATATATGTATTCATATATATTGTAATTTAAAACCTTGTGGCATTACGATTTTTCTTAAAAATTTAACATTGTGCTATTATTGTTCAAATTATTCACTCAGACTGTTTCGGTTAAGTGTGCTGGGAAGAGTAGTCATAAACGTTTAATCACTGTTGTTTTGAAATATGGAATTAGAATTGATGCATTTATTATGAAAATTTAGGAATAGTAGCTGCACATGTTCTAACCTTGAGACAGTTTCCATACATCTTCCCGAGGCAAGGACGTTAACTGACTATAAAAGTCCAGTTTCCACCCCTGCCAAACTAGGCTGGAATTTCCAGGCTCGATTGTAGCACCACCAGTGGCTGTTACGAGTTATGTCCCTTCTATGTTCTCCCTTTTACCAATCAGATTCCATCTCTCATATCACTTGCATTTGCTTCAAACAAAATGGCGGCGACCAGTCAAGACCATCTGCTCGATAGTCAAGATCTGTATTGTAATAAAATGGGACTTACCCCATGAAGTGCATCAAATCATGTGAGCACCTTGATTAAACACATGAAAGAATTTGCAAAATATCTGTCGACACCCAGTTGACGGTACGCATGCTTTGCAAATCCTGCAGTTGATTGAAATCTGCACGTTGAAATCTATGTGGTTACGAACCAGATGACTAGTCTGTTTCTCGATTTTGATTGGATTATGCATAGATTCGTTAGTCCAGCCAACATGTAACAGAATGTCTATAATTGCAGCCTAGTTCGGCAAGGATGGAAACTGGACTTTTACAGTCAGTTAACTCCCTTGCCTTGGGAAGATGGATTCCATATAATTGAGAGCATGAGTCATTGTGTTCAAGTACTGTATACAATTCTCAGTGTAGGACGATATGTCAACAATACCACCCAGGTGTGACTAGATGTATAAGACTTGTGTCCAGTTGTTGTCGACACAATGAAGCATGTACAAATTGTGTCCCGATGTAACGGAGGATTTGTTTCACTTAGAGATGATAGACAACACCAATTGGATAAGCACCCTTGATATTGTCAAGTGACGAATAACATTCACAGTACTTGTGTGAGAGTTATCTCCCTTTATTCTTACCATTGTGCTTGCTGCCCATTCAAAATGTCAAGTTGTTTTCAGTAATATATCATTAGTTTATAGATACAGATTGAAAATCACTTTCAGGATGATGATCTAAGGGAGACAACTCTTACTTGTCTAAGGGAGACAACTCTTACTTGTCTAAGGGAGACAACTCTTCTTTGTCTAAGGGAGACAACTCTTCCTTGTCTAAGGGAGACAACTCTTACTTGTCTAAGGGAGGTAATTTTAATAGACCATGTGGCCCTAACTTGGACCTTACTGCTGCAATACATGTGACTATAAAGTGCATTTAGATGAACAACCTTTGTTTGTTTCACATTTAATCATCATCATACTCTCTCATGTTGTTGATAACTATAATCATTCATTGTAACTATTACTAATCATTGAATATCGTAGCAGATAGAGATCATATGGTTCTGTGTATATTACTGTGTGTCACGTTCACCTGTATGGGAAACTTTGAGAAATCAATACAGTTATTAGCCGATGTAACGTATTCCAGTATGGTTTTGTTGACATTAGTCATTTGTCCCCTTTCAAGCACTATTTTGTGGTCAGTGAGTAGTAATATGCACGCTTTAAGGATGTCTTGCCTTCTCTGTGTCTAGAGGCAGAGGCATAAGATTTAGACGTCGCCATAGAGATTGCTTTATATTGATGTATCCTTGATCTATTCCTGTGGGTAGAGATTATCCAGGCCAGAGGACCTGTGAGGTCAGGGTCTGGTTTTAAGGGGGATAGACTTTGGTAATTGGCAGTTCAAGAAAGTTTGATAGAAGTCTGTCAGACATCAGTTTCTATGTATACCGGAATTAAAGCTTACCTAATTCACGTTTGGCGGTTATTTCAATTTCTGGATCTTGCTGATATCGGCATACATCCTGGAGCATAGTCCCCCTTTAATACATATAATAGTTACTTGCACAAAGTGCAGCCTGATAGTCTTTGATCAGATACTTAAAAATAAAGACAAGCTTCTTCCATAAGACTGGCCTGGCTGTCTCAAATTCAAAGGCTTTTATTGAGGTCAGGTTTAAGGCTTAAAAACATAATATTCTTGGTTCTTAGGCACCGCCTGCATCATTATACGATTTGTTTTTATTTCCATTTTTAACAAAAACAAAAAAATGCTTAAATATTCCAAGTCCAAAGGTAGTCAAATACTGTATTCCAGTATTGTTTATTTGTTTATATACAAGTTTGAACAACTAAAAAAAAAAGACACCGCCCACACTATATTTTCAAAAAACATTGCCTGAGAACCAATTCTTTTATTTTTTTAAGCCTAATGTTAGGAACGAAAAATCAAATTGACATGTTTTAATCAAAAGAATATTTGCTCGCACTTGTGCAATATCTGAAGCATTATTTGACATCTCATATATATATTACAGTCATGTTTGCCATGTCCTACATGAAGAGACACTTGGCAATTTGAGAGAAATACAGGAAAGAAAACGTGATTCCAAGAGAACTGATTACTATTTCACATAGCTACAAAAAATTAATTGCATATTCTCATGCTTTTGTATGCCCACCTTATGTGATTTCGAGGTGCTCAGAGCATGCTCGACAACGATGTTGTTACCTGCACTGTCTGTGTTGTTGATGTTGCAGTCATTGTTGTGTTGTGACATCTCCTATCATTGTTGTATGTACTCATCCCAAGCCTCCCGATCCTCGTGGCCCAGGCGTTCCTGTGTATGGTTAAGGGTCGTACATTTTCATTATTCGTCCTGTGCCACTTGAAGTGTGTAAAGCAACACTAGATATGCAATTACTTCTGCATGATATTTATGTGGAAATTACATTGTTTATTTTTGATGGAATTAACACACTATTGATAACCACTGCTTTAAACAATGTTGAAAATAACCAAAAACACAAGTATTAGATCAAATAAATGGCAATACCTGTTAAAAGAAATTTCTTTTCAAAATTTGCTTTGAATTATTTTCAGCAATCAAACACACGAAGTAGTTTTGTTATTAATCAAAAGTTTTCCATGTAATATTCTGACAATCTAGCTTTCTTTGTATACCAGGAATGCAACGGAGTTAGAAATGTGACATTACATGTTGATGATGGGCTTTAGGAGACATTATATGAATCATGTCGACACAGCAATAGTTTCATAATCTGGGTTCATTCAAGATAACACCACTGTGCATGCTTTTTGTGCCAAGATGTGGACGAGCATGTTCACAGCTTCTACCGGAACTTAACACAGAAACGTTTATGGAGTAATACAGATACGTTTATGGAGTAATACAGATACGTTTATGGTGTAATGGAGATGGTTTTGAAACTTATTCAGGAACTATTCATGTAATTGTAAGTAAGGTTTTCCCCTGTTGTGCGGAGAACTCCTGATTCGATGACACATGTCCGCTGGTCCTGAGAGGGAAGTTCTAGAAAGACGTATCATCCCCTCAAATCTGTTTTTTATACATGAAATGAGCTGTGGATTGAGGATATTATTGATGCTCTTACTTACAGGTCAAATTGAAACATTTTACTCCGGAAATGTACATTAATTTTAGATAAGGATCGTATTTTGTAAAAGCCCTTTTCATTTTCAAATGAACTGCCCATTCCATTACAGTTTGTCTTGAATGCAACTCGGCCGTATGTTATACTTCAGTATTTCATGCAATGTCATTCTGGTCAGATCTGTTACTCCGATATGAAACCTCTCAGCATGAAGTAGTGATGACATTTCTGGAAAAGGTCTCTTCATGTTATCCCAAGTGAACTTTCACAGCCTAATTTTCCCAAAGGATGTGGGTGCTTGAAGCCATCGGACGTCAGCTTTCTGATACAATTCTGATATTCAGGTACATTTCTCGTAACACACCCTTTCTAGTGTTGATTCCATGGTGTTCAGACACAACTTGACGTATAAAATGTACACGACATTATTACACAGCTTTACTTTGTTTTATTTGGAACTCCCTGATCATGTTCATTTTCAAGATACAGAAATCAGAAATGCTTGTCTGAATGCCTTGTTGGTCGACGTTATTCAAGTGAGTTGTTCCCCTTTGACGTAGCCGGGCAACGTAGATAATCGCAAAGGCCGAACAATCGTACCCTAAAGCTGGAGAGATATGACAATCAGTATTGGGAGAAAGATACAGATAACAGCCGTGAAAAATGTGAGATTATCGGGAAGAAATATCAAAATTACCCCCCTGATCATAAAATGGACTAATCCGACATTGTCGAGGTCGGATTGTATTCAGGGAGCCATCTTTTTTTTTTTTGGTTTGGTTTGGTTTGTTGTTTATCTCAATGCTGATAAAAAAGTCGACCTCACGAGACCTTACCAGCTGTCCTCAGAACTTCATGCGGAGTATCATGTTGGAGTAAAAGATCTGCTTTTGATGAGATTGATATTTCATGCCAGTTGTGTGCCATATTATCCTGTGCAATCTTGTATTTATTTTTACACCTGTATCTCTATTCGTACATGTTGGCTTGACAGCATCTTCGTGACATTTGAATTTTGTCATTATTTACAAAGTATAGAATTTACACTTGTTTGTTAACCTGTAACTTTGTTTTTCCTGTTGAGATTTTTGTACAGATTTATTTGTTGTTTTGTTTAGATATTTCATTACAGCTGAGTCACAGCTGCTTGCCACTGTCTGGCAGAGTAGCACACACCCGGGGCTGACTCAAGCTCGATTTAGTCACGTACCAGTACAGAAATCAAAGTCATGTCAGAATAAGGTTGATTTCTTCTCCATTCATGTGTAATGCTACGAGAACACTTTTTGTCCTCTTTCCACACATTGTGAATTGGTTGTGGTGTAATCACTACAACTGGATAGATTAGGACATTAGAGTTATCTCCCCTGTGCAACCGTTTCCTTTTAAATTTCAGAATAATTGAATTTCAACCAATGTTTGTAACCTCTACACCTTTGAGCTATAATAAGCTATTTACAGAACAATCCTATATAAATGTTTGTTTTGGAAAATACACCTGCATTTGATTTCCTATCCGTGACTTTCACACTTTAAAGAGTGTGAGTGAGTGAGTGAGTTTGGTTTAACGACACTTTTAACATTAATCCAGTTATGTCCTGCGTGTCAGCTTAATGTGGGAGGAAAGCCCAAAGTGATGCAGGTCTCAGACATTTACCGCTTCAGTGAAACCCACAAGCACGGGTATGGTGCTGACAAAACTAGACACATAATCGGGCAAACTGGGATTCGAACCCACAATCATAGGTTTCTGGCGTGCCCAAGGGATGCAACTCTGCACAGCGAATCGCGGCACCTTAGAAGACTGGGCCACCCGTGCCCCTACACACTTAACAAACAAAGCTTAACCTCAGTCCATTCTGTAACGAGAACCAACTGTTTGATTAAGTTCAACAGAATACACTTTTCCTGGTGATAATGAATTTTCATACGTGTTCCATTTTCATCCTTGACGTGGCCAAGATCTTCAGCTTTCAGATAGACGATGATTTGTCAATGCTAATATATGTATTATCACAGCTCTGTTGTATTCATTTGGTTGAATAAGGTTTTCAGATTACAGAGATGCTGATCAATTCATTCCTTACTCTCTCCCTCTCTGTGGCCAAACATATTTTTCTGCATTGACCTTGCTTGCTGGCTCTGTAATTGAACAATATTCCTTGCTTATTTAATGTCAATGCAACATCATGAATGTCGACACTTGTCAAATCTTGATTTTCATATCGAAACCAGCAGTTGGACAGAGCGAATGGATGACAGTAAAGGCAAGCGGATCTATGTATGGATGGAATATTGTACATTCCAAATATGGGTACAGGTTTGACTATGTTGGTGTTGATTGGCTGAAAGGAAAGGTCAGGTCCAAATTACAGAGAGGGGTTGTATATTTTGTCAATGACCTTGTTTTGTGATTATTAAAGAATGACAGGAAACAATGTTTTTCACGGAATTATTGTCAAGCTGTATATCATTGTTTAAATTTGGCTTCAATGAATCAGATATTGATGTCTAGAAGAATATTATGACTGATCTGTATATTTGCATAATTATTGATATAATACAAGAGTTGCTTCCCTTTTGATTTCAATTTACTTTCAAATTCTTCGGATGACAATCTTTTGACATGAAACCAAACAAGTGAAGTAAATGTTAGAACTTTATTCCAAGACAAAATGTTTTGAAAAAAAAAATGTAAATAATTTTAAGATATGGATGGTGAGATTCCTCTTGGTGATTTTCAAAATTTTCCCACTGAGATAAGGGAAGTAACTCTTGTTGATTAGAAGATATGTGTTATCAGGCTTGAAGTGTGCAGTGAAAGGGAGACAACTCCTGATGGAGTAAGCAGCTTCTCGTTGCTGTGTTATGCGATGTTAGTTTTATTTTATGTAGAGATAAACGGAGAATCTCAAACAGTTTGGTTGATTATCAATAAATCTCATTCTATATACTTGTTCTCTGTTGTTTGTAGCAATGAAATGGATGGAATAAGGCAAAAAGAAACATTTACCCATGTCTCATAGAGAACAGTTGCGTGAAATTAGGTTTAATATCGCGTCCAAGATTATTGCACTTATATAGCGACATGCATGCACGTGTATGTGGTTACTTGAACTAGTGCGGACTAATGCCAATTTATGGTGCTAGCCAACTGAGATACCATGCCACAGTTTTAACATGAATTCAAGCCAACCTGTCCTTGTTCAGCCCCTTAATGCCGAGTTTTACGTCTTTTGGTATGACATGGCCTGGGATCGAACCTCGGACCTTCAGCGCTCAGGGCTGACACTCTACCACTCTACCACTCTACCACGGAGGCGGTCCAGAGAACAGGTGACAAATCAGGGGAAGTAACTAGTGGTGGGACAATGCATTGGTGGATCGCGATTTTTCACTTCTCGATACTAGTATCACAATCGCACACTAAGTAAAAAGTATCGATTGTTACCTTAAATGTATTCTTTAATGAATGTTACACCAAACACTAATTAACAGTGAAAATGAGGAGTGACTATTATTATTAATCGGCATCAGTCCGGACTAGTACAAACAGGTGAGGTGAGGTGAAATTGGGTTTAACGTTGCGTCCAAGTTTATTGCACTTATATAGCGACGTGCATGTACGTGTGTGTGTTTGTGTGGCTACTTGTACTAGTCCGGACTGATGCCGATTAATAGTGCTAGCTCACTGAGATACCATGCCGCAGTTTAACATGAATACCCCACTCGGACACAGTATACTGACCCCGAGCCGACCAGTCCTTGTTTTAGCCCATTAATGCCGAGCGCCAGACAGGGTAACAACAAGTACGATAGTACAAACAGCCACACACACGTGCATGCACGTCGCTATATAAGTGCAATAATCTTTTACGCGACGATAAACCCCATTTCACCTCACTCTAACTATGCCCATAGTACTTACCAAAAGCATAGTCTTTGTGAACAGTGAACCTCAAGTGAATACAGAGTACCTGGTCATTGCTATGCACAACATAGAAGTCATGATCATGCTTGAATGAAACCAATGACCAACACAGATGCATACAACTGATGCTTTAAAAGGGGAAGTGTACACGCAAAAATCACTTTCTTTCTTTTTCTAAACAAAACGCAATTTTAGAATTAGTTAGTACCTGTGTTTGAAAATATAAACTCATTTTTTTCACAGTGAAAGTTGGAAGCTCCCAATAGTATGCCGTTATGAGGCCTTCGTTTTTCGAGCTAAACAGGCCTGAGTTATCCCCCTTAGATTATGACGTAATTGGTGCCAATTCAACTGGGTCCCTGGGTTCTCAACGCAAAAGATATCAAGTACCAGTTTGAGGTAAAACAACATGTCCTACGACACACTCCGGCGCAGTGGTGACTCAGCATAACACTATGCTGGCTGGCATCTGAGACGCTAGAATCACACACCTGTACCTACACCACGTGAAGCGGCTCTAACAAAGCATGATGACGTCATAATGTTTATCAATTGGCACCAATGACGTCATATTGCAAGGGGCATAAGCCATGGTGTTTTTGTTATGGAAATAGAACACTTGGTAAATGTGAAAAATATAAATCGTTTTAATGCAAAAAATATGTTAATTAATTGTGATATTTTTATATTTTTGTCTATGACACCACTAGGTTAACACTTTTAATGTGGAAAAAGTACAAGAAAAATAGGTTCATTTCCGTGTGAACTTGCCCTTTAATGATAGACATGAAACAGACGGGATATGTGAACAACCATGGTTGTTGGGACAATGATAAACAATCAGAGGCTATTAAATCACAATAAACCCCCTCTGATTGAAACAGCTGGTTTGACGGCCGCATCACCGCGGAAGCTAATATTCATAGAATAGTACTATTTTCAGTCATTGTCGGTAGGCATATTTAAATTACAATATCTACAATTACAGGTTACAAAATGCACAGATGCCGTTACTACAATATTCAAAGGATGTGTGGCAATACATTTCGTGCAGAAAAACACGACAGAAATCAACAAAGGGAATGTATTTACGTTTTGGAGACAACAGAGGGCTTGAAATTTTGGCGCTTTTCTATATACGACTGTGACGTCATATATTTTGCGTCACAATGAGCGATATGACGTCATAATGGTGACATGAGATGTAGAGCAAAAGCCTTGGGATGGCCACCTCATGTTAGCTTACCAAGTTACCGTGCTTATATGCCTGTCATATGTTCGAGTGAAGTATTACGGAGTAAACAAACTGCTTGAGTATATACAGAACCATATTTTGTTCGGTGATTCCGTAATTCAGATCGATAACCCACTCAAAACATTGAACTCAACCCATGCCGCTTCACTCAGTATATTTTCTAACACCAAAGAGTTCGCGTTTTATTTAGTCATGGTAGAATGGAGATAAACATACCGTCTTTTCAATGTAGAGCTAGGTTACCTGTAGATTTAACCGCGCTAAATTTAACATTTGAAACCTCACGCTGCGCGTTCGGTTCCAAATTCAATTTAGCGGGGTTAAATCTACAGGTAACCTAGCTCTACATTGAAAACACAGTATGTTTATCTCCTAATTGAATAGCATCACAATCAAGACAATGAAAAATTACAGTTCTCGCACAGCGTTCCAAATAATTTAAACTTGACACAGACCAGTAAGCATGGTAACCATGCAATCTCATTAAAATCAGATCTTAGTTCTCGCTATCGCTCAACAAAGATTTGAGGACATCCCATTACGGGTCATGTCAGAACGACCTTTCATCTGACCAATCAAAGCGTCGCTTACCAGATCATGAAAGTGACAGTCGGAATGTGTTTTCTAATCATGCAACCTTGAAAATGTTCACACGGGGTATTCCGAACGACAGTTACAGCCCGCACGACTGATTCCGTCAAATTATCGTCTATCTCTCGCTTCCTTGGGATAAACATTTGAACAAAGGAGGCGTTGCACAGTACGTGGGAAGCACTGCCATACAATCTCAACCACATATTAGAAATTCTGGAATGTTCGTTTGTTCAGTTTTCAAAATTTTAATCAAGAACTGTGTCAACATATTTTTCAAGCATAGTCTGAAATGGAAGTCACCAGGTTGAAACGAGCACCGTAAACTCGAGAAAGCTGCTTTCTAATTGGCTGATGTCGACTTCTTGTTAGTGATTACAGCGGTCGGTCAAAGTTCGCATAAGGTCGTTCTGACGTGACCTGTAATGGGATGTCCTCAGATCTTTGTTTAGCGGCAGCGAGAACTTAGATATGATTTTAATTAGATTTGGTAACTATGGTAACACTACAGCCACCACAGCCAGAATGGTATCCAACCATGAGAGATTAATCTAGGATACCAAACTAAGTGCCCATGGCCGGCAAATTAAGAATATAATGTTATTTTCATAAAAAGTGGCATCATCAAAGTTCTTATTTTCCTACAATCAGATATTTTAACAGTCGTTCAATGTAACCATGGTAACAATGGCAAGTTAAGCATTTTAGCCTCTCCCCCAATTACCTGATTAAACTTAGATGTCACAACTATTCCCAGGAGTTCTGACAATGTCTTGTCTTGTCAGAACAATGAATGATTTAATGACACCAATCCATCCAATTATTTACAAAGCCCTGTTGAGTAAACAGCCATCTGATATTTTCAATCTGAACTGTTTGTTAGTTTGTTATTTAAAGCCACACATATTCCAGCTATAAGATGGGGTTCAATCTGAATAGGCGATGACCGAAATCCAGATTCGTCAGCTGAAAACCCTGATGTGGCACATCACTTTCTTACTGCACCTCAAACTTCATGAAATAAGCTTCCAGAAATTCATCACGAGGCTATATTTCCGTGTCAGCTCACTGAAAGCTTCTCTCATCATATCTGTTTCTTTGATAGTGTCCTTGGTCCCGGTGATACCCTCCACCCCCATTTCCATAGTGGCCTCCTCCACCACCCCCTCCTCGGTGGTATCCTCCGCCTCCTCTGCCTCCGTGGTAACCGTCTCTGTTCCTGCCGTAGTTGTCATCTCTGTTACGATAACCGCCACCACCACCACGGTTGCCATAGCGATCACCATGGTGACCCCAGTTGCCACGAGACTGGTTGTAACCACCTCGACCTTGACTATCACCTCGGCTGAAAAGTAGGCAGATAGAGGATATTGTGAATATTAAACATGTTAAATATTTCCTGGCATAAAACATTCTTTTCATTACCGAGCCAATGACACAGTTAAAATCACAAGGGCATGGTTACATAAGCGATAGAAACAAACATTTTTAATCCACTAGTCCTTATTATGATATCATATAGCAAAATCCTTAAAAATGGTAAATTTCTACTAGTCCCTAAGTTATGATATCTTACTATTGGGCAGTTTGGCAAAGACTATAGGACAAGTGCCAATTTCTAACAATGGTTACATATGTTCCTGGTGTCTGCATTGCACACATAGAAATCACATTACTTTGACAAAAACACCTTGTGATGATGTTAATTGTACAAAGCCAGTCATACATGTGATGTGCACTAGTAACTGAACAAACACATAGGAACTGAGCATTTGATTGAGTGAGTGAGTGAGCTGGGTTTAACACTGCTTTGAACAGTATTCCAGTTATATCACACCGTGTCAGCTTAATGTGGGAGAAAAGCCCGAAGTGATGCAGGTCTCGGACGTTTACCCCTCGGAGAAACCCACGAGCACGGGTATGGTGCTGACAAACCTAGAAATATAACTGGGGCGAACCGGGATTCGAAACAAACAACCATGATTTCTGGGGTGCCCAAAAGACGCAACTCTACACAGCGAATTGTGGCCCTTTCAAAAGCTGTGCCATCTGTGCCCTGCATGAACATTGTTGACACAGGTTTGTTTGTTGTTTCACGTCTTGTTTCCACCCTTGCCACATCAAGCCCACTTTCCTGTGCTAAATATGATTGGACTATCGCACAGATACTGATATAGTTAGTCCAATCAGAGAACATTTCACAAAATAAATATCCACAATGGGTACACCTTCGGATGAAAGTGATTTCTTTTTGATCATTTAACAATTAACTACGTTTTTGTGTCAGGGATGAAATCACAAATGTTTTCATTATCTGGTCGGCTAGGTCGTTTGTGAAGCTATACAGGATAACAGCAATCTGATTTGATATCACATTTTCATTACAAGGGACACAACTCATGATCTACGCGAGGTGGCGCCAGGGCCAAGAAAAGTGGCCTTGATGTGGCAAGGGTAGAAACTAGGCTTTGATATAGGCTAGTCAGCATGCTTGCCTCGGGAAGGTGCTCCTATGCAGACCCTATCAGATTTAGAGTAGACATGAAATAACCTGTGCTTATTTGAATCGATCTTTAGGGTTAGCGTGGTTTGTTTGTTTGTTGTTTAACACCGCATTCAGCAATATTCCAGCTCTATGACAGCGATCTGTAAATAATCGAATGATTGAGCATCAATTCACGCAATTGGGATACAATGACATGCACCAAACAAGTCAGCGAGCCAGACCACCTGATCCCGTTTTGGCCTCTTGCGGCAAGCATGGGGAAGATGATGTAGGTGATGATGTTCGAGAAGATGGAGGAGGTGATGATGTTCGAGAAGATGGAGGAGGTGATGATGTTCGGGAAGACGACGTAGGTGATGATGTTCGGGAAGATGGTGTAGGCGATGATGTTCGAGAAGATGGTGTAGGTGATGATGTTCGGGAAGATGGTGTAGGTGATGATGTTCGAGAAGATGGAGGAGGTGATGATGTTCGGGAAGACGACGTAGGTGATGATGTTCGGGAAGATGGTGTAGGCGATGATGTTCGAGAAGATGGTGTAGGTGATGATGTTCGAGAAGATGGAGGAGGTGATGATGTTCGGGAAGATGATGTAGGTGATGATGTTCGGGAAGATGGTGTAGGTGATGATGTTCGAGAAGATGGTGTAGGTGATGATGTTCGAGAAGATGGAGGAGGTGATGATGTTCGGGAAGATGATGTAGGTGATGATGTTCGGGAAGATGGTGTAGGTGATGATGTTCGAGAAGATGGTGTAGGTGATGATGTTCGAGAAGATGGAGGAGGTGATGATGTTCGGGAAGATGGTGTAGTTGATGATGTTCGGGAAGATGATGTAGTTGATGATGTTCGAGAAGATGATGTAGGTGATGATGTTCGGGGAGATGATGTAGGCGATGATGTTCGGGAAGATGGAGGAGGTGATGATGTTCGGGAAGATGGTGTAGGTGATGATGTTCGGGAAGATGATGTAGGTGATGATGTTCGGGAAGATGGTGTAGGTGATGATGTTCAGGAAGATGGTGTAGGCGATGATGTTCGAGAAGATGGAGGAGGTGATGATGTTCGAGAAGATGGAGGAGGTGATGATGTTCGGGAAGATGGTGTAGGTGATGATGTTCGGGAAGATGATGTAGGTGATGATGTTCGAGAAGATGGTGTAGGTGATGATGTTCGAGAAGATGGAGGAGGTGATGATGTTCGGGAAGATGGTGTAGGTGATGATGTTCGGGAAGATGGTGTATGTGATGATGTTCGAGAAGATGGAGGAGGTGATGATGTTCGGGAAGATGGTGTAGGTGATGATGTTCGGGAAGATGATGTAGGTGATGATGTTCGGGAAGATGGTGTAGGTGATGATGTTCAGGAAGATGGTGTAGGCGATGATGTTCGAGAAGATGGAGGAGGTGATGATGTTCGGGAAGATGATGTAGGTGATGATGTTCGGGAAGATGATGTAGGTGATGATGTTCGAGAAGATGATGTAGGTGATGATGTTCGGGGAGATGATGTAGGCGATGATGTTCGGGAAGATGGAGGAGGTGATGATGTTCGGGAAGATGGTGTAGGTGATGATGTTCGGGAAGATGATGTAGGTGATGATGTTCGGGAAGATGGTGTAGGTGATGATGTTCAGGAAGATGGTGTAGGCGATGATGTTCGAGAAGATGGAGGAGGTGATGATGTTCGAGAAGATGGAGGAGGTGATGATGTTCGGGAAGATGGTGTAGGTGATGATGTTCGGGAAGATGATGTAGGTGATGATGTTCGAGAAGATGGTGTAGGTGATGATGTTCGAGAAGATGGAGGAGGTGATGATGTTCGGGAAGATGGTGTAGGTGATGATGTTCGGGAAGATGGTGTATGTGATGATGTTCGGGAAGATGGTGTAGGCGATGATGTTCGAGAAGATGGAGGAGATGATGATGTTCGGGAAGATGGAGGAGGTGATGATGTTGGGGAAGATGGAGGAGGCGATGATGTTCGAGAAGATGGAGGAGGTGATGATGTTCGGGAAGATGGTGTAGGTGATGATGTTCGGGAAGATGGTGTATGTGATGATGTTCGGGAAGATGGTGTAGGCGATGATGTTCGAGAAGATGGAGGAGATGATGATGTTCGGGAAGATGGTGGAGTTGATGATGTTCGAGAAGATGGTGTAGTTGATGATGTTCGAGAAGATGGTGTAGGCGATGATGTTCGGGAAGATGGAGGAGGTGATGATGTTCGAGAAGATGATGTAGGCGATGATGTTCGGGAAGATGGTGTAGGTGATGATGTTCAGGAAGATGGAGGAGGTGATGATGTTTGGGAAGATGGTGTAGGCGATGATGTTCGGGAAGATGGAGGAGGTGATGATGTTCGGGAAGATGGTGTAGTTGATAATGTTCGGGAAGATGGTGTAGGCGATGATGTTCGGGAAGATGATGTAGGCGATGATGTTCGGGAAGATGGAGGAGGTGATGATGTTCGGGAAGATGGTGTAGGCGATGATGTTCGGGAAGATGATGTAGGCGATGATGTTCGGGAAGATGGAGGAGGTGATGATGTTGGGGAAGATGGTGTAGGTGATGATGTTCGGGATGATGGTGTAGGTGATGATGTTCAGGAAGATGGTGTAGGTGATGATGTTCAGGAAGATGGTGTAGGCGATGATGTTCGGGAAGATGGTGTAGGCAATGATGTTCGAGAAGATGGTGTAGGTGATGATGTTCGGGAAGATGGAGGAGGTGATGATGTTCGGGAAGATGGTGTAGGTGATGATGTTCGGGAAGATGATGTAGGTGATGATGTTCGAAAAGATGGTGTAGGTGATGATGTTCGGGAAGATGGTGTAGGCGATGATGTTCGGGAAGATGGTGTAGTTGATGATGTTCGGGAAGATGGAGGAGGTGATGATGTTCAGGAAGATGGAGGAGGCAATGATGTTCGGGAAGATGGTGTATGTGATGATGTTCGGGAAGATGATGTAGGTGATGATGTTCAGGAAGATGGAGGAGGTGATGATGTTCGGGAAGATGGTGTAGGCGATGATGTTCGGGAAGATGATGTAGGCGATGATGTTCAGGAAGATGATGTAGGTGATGATGTTCAGGAAGATGATGTAGGTGATGATGTTCGAGAAGATGGTGTAGGCGATGATGTTCGGGAAGATGGTGTAGGTGATGATGTTCGAGAAGATGGTGTAGGTGATGATGTTCGAGAAGATGGAGGAGGTGATGATGTTCGAGAAGATGGTGTAGGTGATGATGTTCGGGAAGATGGTGTATGTGATGATGTTCGGGAAGATGGTGTAGGTGATGATGTTCGGGAAGATGGTGTAGGTGATGATGTTCGAGAAGATGGTGTAGGCGATGATGTTCGGGAAGATGGTGTATGTGATGATGTTCGAGAAGATGGAGGAGGTGATGATGTTCGAGAAGATGGTGTAGGTGATGATGTTCGGGAAGATGGTGTAGGTGATGATGTTCGAGAAGATGGAGGAGGTGATGATGTTCGAGAAGATGGTGTAGGTGATGATGTTCGGGAAGATGGTGTAGGTGATGATGTTCGGGAAGATGGTGTAGGTGATGATGTTCGAGAAGATGGTGTAGGCGATGATGTTCGGGAAGATGGTGTAGGTGATGATGTTCGAGAAGATGGTGTAGGTGATGATGTTCGAGAAGATGGAGGAGGTGATGATGTTCGAGAAGATGGTGTAGGTGATGATGTTCGGGAAGATGGTGTATGTGATGATGTTCGGGAAGATGGTGTAGGTGATGATGTTCCGGAAGATGGTGTATGTGATGATGTTCGGGAAGATGGTGTATGTGATGATGTTCGGGAAGATGGTGTATGTG